GTGAGAGCCCTGCAAGCGCCGAAGAACACGTCTAAACCCCCCTAAAACTCAGAATCCCCAAACCCGAAACCCCTGCCCTTAACCTTTGAATTCCTATCCCCTACCCTTTTACAGCCCTTTCACGAGCCTTTACTCCTACGCAAAAAAAATTAAAACCACAACCCAAACCGCCCAAACCCCCCAAAACCCCAAAAAACACCCGCAACCCTGAACCCTAAACGGAGAAAAGGGTTAGGGCTTAAATCCTGGGGAACACCTTCACCGACAGGTCACCAGCCAAGCTCACCTCTCGAGAGGTCGGCTCCCAGTTCCGAAAGCCAAACTGGGCAAATGTCCTCAGAGGTTTAGAGTTTAGGGTTTGGGGTTTAGGGGTTTAGGGGTTTAGGGTTTAGGAACTCAGAATGCTGGGGAAAAATAAAGAGCCTTTTGCAGGTAGGCTCGATGTAGGCTTTATTAAGTTTGGGCATTTAGTTTGCGAATTATGCGTTCATAAGTCAAGGTAGAGATAGGTAGAACTTAAGAGGATTGAGCACGGGGTTGGAGTTTCGGATTTAAGGGGCTTAAAGGTGCATAGTTGTTTGATTTCTCCGTTATTTATTTTTGCCTCTGCTAATGCTGTTTACTTGTGTGGGGCAAGTTGACAACCGGCACGTACCACAGAACTGTTCGCTTCGGACCTCATCCTAGGTGGTTTCGCCTTCCGGCAAGCAGCAGACCGCAGGCAGCATGCGAGTGCATGAGATTCTGACCAGTGGGTAACGCTGCTTTGGAGTTCCGTATCCGTATATTTTGCAGGCAAAACAACCCGACCCAAATTAAGCAAAGCCGGAAACATTGTCGGCAAAGATCGAAATCCCAAGTTAAAAGAGGGAAGGCAGTTGAGAGCACTCAGGCCAATTGGTGGCAAGGATTTATTTATGTGAATATCGCGGGGGCTTGGGATTGGATAAGCTAGCCTTCACGCACTTCGATTAAGCCCTAAACTCCAGACTTCTCTGCCTGAAGTTCGAAAACCTCCAACCCTGAACCGGTAACCCTCAAGCCTATACGACTCAGACCTTAAATCTTAAACCGAACCCTACACCACCCTAAACCCTAANNCCCCCCCCCAAAAAAAAAAGCCCTAAGCCGTGCAGATCCTAAACCCGCAAGGCCCCCACCTGGTCCAGGCAGAAGCCGAAATCTTTGTCCATCTGCTGCTCTAGGACCTCTTGACCTTGGGTTTGACGGTTTAGGGCTTTCCCTTCAGAACCCAGAGACTCCAAAACCCC